CCTTCATTTTAGGTCCTATGGAATTCCAGACTACTACAACTACAACACCACCTGCTGGCCTTACGCGCTTGAGCGTGCAAACCTGCGTCGGTGAGTCATTATATTCTGTTTTATTGTAATATTAAATATCATTTATTGTTTAATTTTATGTATTTTCCTACTGGTACTGTTCTTGCTTGCAGTTTTTCGTTGTTTTTCGATGCTACATTGCGTCTGTAGGTGTCGTTGTTTCAGCTGCTGTGTTGGTGTTGTTTCTCTGTTTCTTCTATCCACTTATTTTTTTCTATCGACTTATTAAATACTTTTATTGTGGTTTATTTCTTTTGTCTCAGGCACGGAATAGACCCAGATACAGTTGATATGAGGGGCCTTGAGAACTAATTTGTAGTTATTTTTCTAAGACGAGCTCTTGCACCGTTGCAAGCCGAAACCCCTTTTTCATTTTTTACTTTAACTCCATGCTTGCTGCTTTAAACTTCTTTAAAAGCTTTTACTTTCTTTTGGTGTTTTATTCTATCTCCGTTTCTCACTGCTACTTCTCTCTCAACTCAACAAGCCAGTACTTACTTGCAAAGCAAAGACGAACTGAACGCCGAAACACAGAAGCTTCTTTTTCTGTTTCCGAGGGAGAAAGCTATAAATAGGCTTAAAAACTAAAATTGTATAAATCTATGATTAAATGTATCAATATAAAACTAGTTTACAGCGCCTTACTACAGACTATTCACTCGGCTTTGCAATAGAGTGCTCTACAGCTAACACGCACTGAAACGCCGTTACATTCCCAATCAGAATTTTGAAATTTTTTTCGTTAAAAAAAAGTTTGCGAGTTCGTTCAAAGCTGATGCTTTCCACATCAGCACACGGCGGCACAGCTTTCCCCCCCCCCAAAAAGGATAGGGCTAGACACCACTCAAGTGATGGTGATGCCGCCATGAAAAACTCAGCTGTTATCTGTTCTAGAAGCAACGAAGCATCGAACTCAGCGACCTATAGTCTACAGGAAAGCTGTTTCAAGCGCTACAGCAGCAGTAACTATATCTATTGAACACACGCGATACTGCTAGCATCCTCCTTGTGCAACCTAATAAGAATACGAACTCTGCTGGTGAATTGATACTTCCATGGTTTTTCTCAGGTTCAGCCCCGCATAAGCGAGTCAGGTTTCACCATAGAAATACAATACAATGATTGTATTAAGACGAAACCAGTAGCCCAAGACTAGGAATATGGAAGCCTGCATTGAGGAGCAGAACTCAACTCAATCCACTCGATATAGGGTGCTGCTGTTTTCAAACATACACCATGAAGCTGCTCAGGAAGAACAGCCGAAGGTGCTTGTAGACAGCAGAAGGGCCGCAGCAACGCCGTTAAGGCGAGCATTTCAACCCAGCGCCCATAGAAAGCAGCCGAATACGTGTATTCTTGAAACTCATATACAACAAAAAACAAGAAAGAGGACCCAAATATCAGATGGTGATGCATGGAAACCTTCTAATCGTCACAAAGATTCAGACGATTGGGTGTGAGGGTATTCTCATCATATAGTCCTTTCTATTGAAAGCAGCACACGGGAAAGCTGAATATAATATGCGTTTGATACTTCCATGGTTTTTCTCAGGATCAGCCCCGCATAAGCGAGTCAGGTTTCACCATATATATATATATATATATATATATATATATATATATATATATATATATATATATATATATATA